CGTGCATTTCGATTTTTCTCTGCATCACCTACAACTTGCTCTCACGGACATCTGCCACTTCTCTTAAATCGAACGCAACCGATATTATCATTTGAATGTCATAAACTGACCTTTTTAAAGTCTAAAATCATTTTTATTAAGTAAAATTCTCCCACAGTTGACATCATTTAGATAAGAAGCTTCTATTAGAAGATCAAGTTATTTTGTAAAAACAGTCTAAAATTAAATGTGTGAGTATGAATATGAACAGGCAATAAAGAGTACAGGCGATAGAAAGTGTGAATATGAACAGGCGATAAAGAATGAGAGTATGAACAAGCGATAAAGAGTGATAATATGAACAGGCGATAAAGAGTGCGAGTATGAACAGATGATAAAGAGTGCGAGTATGAACAGGCGATAAAGAGTGAGAGTATGAACAGGCGATAAAGAGTGAGAATATGAACAGGCGATAAAGAGTGAGAATATGAACAGGCGATAAAGATTGAAAGTAGGAACAGGCGATAAAAAGTGAGAGTATGAACAGGCGATAAAGAGTGTGAATATGAACAGGCGACAAAGAGTGAGAGTACGAACAGGCGATAAAGAGTAAGAGTATGAACAGGCGATAAAGAGTCAGAGTATAAACAGGCGATAAATAGTGCGAGTATGAACAGGCGATAAAGAGTGAGAGTATGAACAGGCGATTAAGAGTGCGAGTATGAACAGGCGATAAAGAGTGAAAGTATGAACAGGTGATAAAGAGTGAGAATATGAACAGGCGATAAAGAGTGCGAATATGAACAGGCGATAAAGAGTGTGAATATGAACTGTGACAATGTGAACCACCAAACCGGAAAGGTTCCTGTAAGTAAGAAAGTGTTGTTATGTCAGGAAGTTTTAATGAATCATTCTTAAGCTTAATTTGTTGTAGAATATTTGTTTGGGGGTTCCATGTGTAATAGATCTATTGTTCACTACACAACTTCAAACTAAATCTATAGACAGATGTAAAACACTATTAAACACAAATTAAAAAGTTAATTGGAATATGTGCCTCCATATTGTAGAAGACATTTGATTGTGAGAGATTATTCACTTTCATGTTCCTGGTCTCGTCTTCTCATATCCTTTCCTCATTATAAAATAATAAATATTGGAACCGACAGAACGCCTGACAGTCTATGCCGGGAAATGATATAATAATTGCGAAAAGAACCTCTCACATTTTTTGTTTTAGATCTGTTTGAGATTTGCTGGAAGAAAATCTTTCTAATAAAGTCAGATAATGATTTTTCAATTACGTAGCAGGTCAATCTGGACTCTGAGAGAATTCGGTGTGAATTGAATCCAAAGCTTTACTTTGTCCTGATAAAATTTTTTTGTTTAAAAAAAAAATTGAAGTCGATGAGTGTAAGTTGATCCACACAATGTTTTCACAGAAATTGTTCAACTTAGGTATGTGAAGCAGATAAGTTCGGATTTATGAATTGAATTGACTGGTGGGTTTTGACTATAGTGTGGACATTTTCAAAATTTTATCTAATGTTTATTAGTAATTCAATATGGTTAAACAAATTTTGGGTTTTTACTATTTAAGCAAACATAACTGGGATTTTTGATTATCTTTTCCAAATAATGTGAGTGATATTTTGACAACTATAGTCTTTGATAAGTACGTTTCGTGATTTTCTTTACCGTTCTATTTGTATTTGATGTGATTAGAAGTGACCGAGTTAGTTCACTGAGGAAATTAAATCCAATATAAAACAGAAGGCCTCAATTTTCACATATCAATCATAATATAATTGGAAAAAACACTAAATTCCTTGGAGACATAAATCTTAAACATATTGTCTTATTCAATTAAACTTTCAAGAAATATATTAGAATCTGACTACAATTGACATTCTGGTTATTGGGTTTAAAAATTCAAATATAGAAGAAAAATGTAATATAGGCTGTTGTTTTATGCTATCTTTATCTTGCTCGGCTGGTGTTCAAGACAATTATTTTGCAATTCCGGGCTATTGCTTGTAAAAAACTTCACTAAGCCAATCCGGCTTTTCGCAGTAACCAGACATGATGATATGTTGGACGCTGGTTTGAAGTATAAGTTCATTAAAAAGAGCAGTGATTATATTTAACAAATCAATCGGGGATCAAATAAGATCGAAGCTGGACGAGACTGCCCTCAAGGTGTACAAATTTCTCACAGTCTTGAAAGTGAGATACAGACATAGAAAAACAAACTAATTTAGAACCTGAAATATTGACAAAGTAAATCAGACAGAATGAAATGACACGCCCGATTTTTAATCTGTCAAATTTTCCCTTTATTTCAGTTAATACAATTAACTTATAATGCTGGATATCTGTCAGTTCCTGAAACGCGCATCACCAACAAAGAGAAACAGATACATAACCTACATTACAAGTAGTAAATAGGGCATATAATGAAACGACCTACTTTCAAGTTTGAAAGAATCGGCTGAAAATTAAAACTATTAGGCATATAGTATTCTGTTCAATTTAGAAAAGAAGGATTATCAGTGGGATAAAATTTCTATAAAAGCCTTCTCAATTTTACTATTCAAGTCACGAGGATAAACACGGGCGTTGAAATTTGCAATTTTTCACAAACATAATCAATACTTGCTTATTTTGATGATATGATTTCCATTCAATACTTACTTGGTTTGGTGATACTATGATTTACATTCAATACTTATTTGACTAGATGATACTATGATTTACATTCAATATTTACTTCGTTTGATCATACCATGATTTTCCTTCAATACATGATAGGTTTGATGACACTACGACTTACCTTCAACAATACCTATATGTACTTGATCTGAGGATACAATAATCTAAGTACTTACTTTGTTTGATGATTATAACCGTTAATACTTACTTGAATGATGCTATGGTGTACCCACAACACTTGCTTGGAGTCATGCTACTATGACTCTATTTCAATACTTACTTCAATGACTCTATGATTTACATGCAATGCATACTTGTTCTCAATCATCCTCCTTATATTCGACCGGGTTGACTGTGGGTTGCCGCGTAATGACATGAATTTCCGGATTATGTAAACGAGGTAGGTCACTATACCTCATATGGTAAATGCAGAAGTTGACTTTACAACCTATCACAACTATTCAATATATTACACATATAAACACCCTCTTTCTCAAGTCTAATACACTTTACAATGTATATACTTCAAGTGTGGACTTTATTTGTTATTTAAGTTAATTTTATATCTATTTATTCATGTTTATGTTATATGGAGACGGATTTACATATTCATGTTTCTGAATGCAGTTATATTACGTATTGCAATTGATATTATAGATTAAATAATTAATATTTTGTGCTTGATAAAGATTCCTGTATGTGAATTGAAACGTTGCAAAAATAATAGTCTTCTTATTTATCTAAAATAAATATTGTTTAAATTATAATCAATATGGAGCTGAAACCGGAGTAATTTGAATTGCTCTGTTGTTCTGTGGTTTCCTATCACTGACATATAAGATATTTATCGTGAAAGTTGATTTCGAATTCAAATTGTAGCATATCAGCAACTTCGTCTTCATAACGTTAATGACTTCATTTAAATTCAATGTTTGTAATTTCCTGACAAGTTAATCCTTCTACTTGTGAATTAATACACCTCCAAACTATCTTCATTTCCACTATTCACAATAAAAAAATACGTTAGTCTGGGGACGGTGCCATTCATTAATCTTTACCATCAATTTCAATCTCATGTTTCCTATTTTTCAAATTAGATTTATCCCTTTTTTAGAGGATTCAATGGCTGTCCAGGTCGTTCCGTGCTTCTTACGATAATGTAGTTGTAGATAAATATTTTAAAAAGAAGACTATGGTATAAATTTTTTACGCTGACTTTTAGATATGACTCGCTACTTATTGTTTGTTAACAGACCAAAAAGAACGCCAAAGTAAAACCTATTAAATATTTAGTCATAATATAAGCTCTATTTTCTATTGCAGTCTATATATCCCAAATATGTTCAGAGTTTTGATTAGATAAGTTCGAAACGATACGGTGTTTAAGATGCTGAGAATTTATATATCCAAACGTCGTGTTTTATTTTATATGTCAATCAGTCAGTATTCACGCTGATATTACTATCTTTTAAGGCTTTTTTACACAATTCCATCTTTATAATTTAATACATATATCTCTCTAATTTAAAGTCACATTATAACATTATTTTATGTCTATATAGTGATATTAACTATTGATATTTTCGTGTTAATGTGTTAACTGATGTTAGAAAGGTGGTAAAACAGTCTGAGATAAAACATTTACACGTGTTTGTGGAATAACTTGTTCGCTAATCAGGAATACATCTTCAAAAAAGGGCGAGGTGTCAATAATGATTTGGTTCTTAGCAAAAAGATTAGCTTTTTCATTTCATTTTCCAAGATTAATATTTTTTGTGTGTATTTAATTCTAATTACAAAAATACAAGCTCTGTAATTAAAATAAATTAATTTAAAAATAATTGGTATCAGATATATAAACGACTTTCTGGTCGCCTTCATTGAAATATCTTTTAACTTGAAAGGATTGCAGTATGAAATGAATTCTGTTGAGAATTAAAAGTCAAGAAATAGATTGTTATATTGGTTTTGGGTGTGAAATGAAAACAAATCATTTATTTACGTCCAATTTTATTTATCCTTTTGACATATGTAACAAATGAGGCAATTTCACTTTGTTAAGACTAGTCTGGTTTTGTATCTTTTGATTTCATACAATTTTAAAGTTCTATACGTTACTTCAAGTGAAGGCAGACTTGACATGTCATTTGACAGGAATACATGTGTATATGTGTTCATAAATAATTTAAGTATTGTTTAAATGTCCAGAAAAATCGTTTTCAAAGGAACACTTTTTCATAATCTGGCATTGATTTTAATCTGATGCAAAAGAGTTGTGTTAAAAAAATGGAAGTATTGGTTGTATGAAATATGCAGTTCTCACTTTACTTCCGAGGACTGCTTATAATGGATAATCTTAAACACATAGCAGTCGGTTTATATTCAGAAATTGAGCACCTTAAGACGCCCTTTAGACAGATGCGCCATTTAGGGGAGTTGAGTTTTGAATATATTTAAATAGTCTTCAGAAGTCCTCGAAATGTACGAAAATCGCATAATTCCTTCAAAAATATCTCTATATTTCTCTATATCACAGAGTAATTTAAAATGACAAGTCAAATTTGGACGGGGAGCTGTATACACTATTACTGATTGGCTAAGCTAAAACAAATCCTCTTCCTGAGACTAAGGTCAAACTAATGGCACACTCGTCCCTTTAACTCTAAATTTCGATTTTCTGAAATTCAAGTCATGGATCTTCTGGTACATTTTTCCAGATAACTTTCAAATTCATGATACCGTGGTGGATCGAGTGTATATACAATTTACGAATGATTAACATTGATCAGTTAAAGCTTCTTGACTATTTAGTTGATGGCCTATCCATCAGGGAATAGGGCATTGTTAAAACTTTGTATCATTAGAAATCATTGAA